TATATTACAACAACGATACAATAGAATCGAAGAAATAGAAATAAGTAATAAACACAATAACAGTTAAACAAAACAATACTGAAATAATATTCAATTAAAGAAACAATATTCTGTAATTATTATTCTTATATTTATAATTTAATTTGATTATTTGATTTGATACAATGTAAATATTAAAATAAAAATAGATATTTTTTAGAAATAAATATTTTTTATTTGAAATAATCTAATTCATATGTATTTATATATATGTACCAATAGTCTTATATATATATACTGTATTAGTATATATTAGATGTTTGATGTTTCATATTTATATTACTTAATATAACATATTCTATAACATATTGTAGAATGAATCGACATAGTATAGAATATGAAATATCCTCAACAACAATATAATAAATTAAAGGGAAGATATGACTCAGAGAAGAATTATTAGAAATAAGAAATAAAAATCAGAAATTCGGATAAAATCACATTGTATCCAATATGAAACTCTTAAATATAAATAAACCAAAGATTAATTTTTATGTTAATTAAATGTTAATTAAAGAGAGGATATCGATTATGATAGAATTGGTCTGGGATGGAAGGATTCAAACCTCCGAATAACGGGACCAAAGCACGTTGCCTTACCGCTTGGCCACGCCCCATTTCTATTTCTATGTGACGGTAATAAACACTAATATCGATATTGGTTGTTTTTCAATTCCAGCCCATATATCTATGTAATAGGTTGTTGCTCGGATTCAACACGTGTAGAATAAAGATGAATTCATTGATGATTATGTATTAATTTAATTATAATTAAGATATTCTATGAAACTAAGATTTTGATTCTTTAGAATTCTAATTTAGAATTAGAATTGAATTCAACAATTGAAGGATCTTTGATTTGATTCAGGTTCAAAGAAGAATTTTTTAGACTACCTTCTTTATCTTTATTTTCTTTTTTCCCTTGTATCAAAAAATCAATAAAAATGAAATTAACTCCAAGAAAAAAATGTTTGTTATGCCTAATATCTTTAGTTTGATATGTATCTGTCTTCATTCTACCCTTCATTCGAGTGGTTTTTTATTCGCAAAACTGCCCAAGGACTATGCTGTTTTCAATCAAATCGTAGATGTTATTCCGGTCATACCTTTGTTTTTTTTTCTCTTAGCCTTTGTTTGGCGAGCTGCTGCAAGTTTTCGATGAGATCTTTGATGCTGCTTTAGAAACATAGATTTCTAATTTACTCGATAAAAGATTTTGACAATTGAGAAGATGAGATAAGTATTGCATTATGAACCTTTGATTCAAATATTAAGCATGTTGGATAGCCTCGATGAATCTCTATCGTCTAGTTTCCTCATTATAATTCGAATCCTCCATGGAGGAATAATTCTGGTCCAACACAATACCAAATTTTAGGCATGACGAGATCCTTTTGTTAACGAAGGAATAAGAGTCTTATTACAACTAGATTCTTGCAAATTATTTTCTAGAAATAACTTCATTCTTCCTCTCTTGGTATCAAAAAGGGGATATGTGGTACTGGTACAAAGATTGAAAATCTATTCCCTTTTTCTTCTAAAAACCATCTTGGAGATTGTGTAATGCTTACTCTCAAACTGTTCATTTACATAGTAGTGATATTATTTGTTTCTCTATTCATTTTTGGATTCCTATCTAATGACTCAGGACGTAATTCTGGGCGTGAATAATAAAGAATAAGAGGTTTTTTACTTGCTTGGTTCCTAAAATTTGATTTCTTCCATACATTTATCTGTGAAATAAAGAAAACAAGATCTGGTTTCGAATTCAAAGAGAAATCTCAAATCATCAGAGGGAACGGAGAGAGAGGGATTCGAACCCCCTGTACAAATAGCTTGCACCACGGATTAGCAATCCGACTCCTTAATCCACTTAGCCATCTCTCCCAATTGGATTGGAAAAGGAAAATTCATAATGTGACACTTGAAGTAAAGACTGATAAGATTCTCTTTTATATAAAAAATAACAATTTGAAACTTAAAACTGAGATCTTCAAAATAAAAAGAAATGATACCTCTTCTTTTTCTTATTTCACCCGAAAAGTTATTTTGTTCCCCGGCTTGGCCAGTACCTAGGCCAGGCCATTCCTTTCTCTTGTTCCAATGAATGATAGATCAAATGATTTACCTGATTCAAAAACTAAAAAACTTTACTTGTTTTTATTGAAATAGCTTTTGCTCTTGTTTCACTCTTATAGAATCTATTGTAGAATAGAATATGAATGTCTTTTCTCATTTATTTACTTTCATTCTATGATTCTTTTTTATTTACTATATTCCTTACTTTCATTTTTTTTTTTTCAAGAGACAAACCTTGTAGAAATGCCTGAGTCCGCATCATACTATGATTTGATTTTTTATTTCTTTTCTTTTTTCATTATCATTACAATTGCATTCATTATTTACAATTACATTCATTATTAAGAATAATAATTCATTCTATCATTAATTAATGAGTTCCATTCATTCTAATAATCTATCATTCTAATCTAATTATTAATTCTATTCAATTATATACAAATTGAATTTGTAATTCAAATTCTCTTTATATATTAAAATTCTCTATTCTAAATATTTCTATTCTAAAATATATATATATATATAT